TCAGAGGCGGCTAATAAATGCAGCCACAGCCTTGTTACTGTGTGTGTGCTCTGTTCATTTTCTGAACCTTAAAATAGTTTGTTGGGGTCCGAGTGAGTTGCGTTAGGAATAAGGCAGGAACGTGGTGGCTATCACGTGGGTACTTCCTTGTTCTCTTGGAGGCCTGCTGAGAAAACCTTCCCACCGAGCCCCTCAGATTCCTCCCCAATACTCGCGCAGAGATAGAATTAGGAAGCAGTTGGGATTCTTGTTCTTCCGTCTTATGCACCACCAGCCTGGATTGTCTCATAGTTCACTTTCTCTTTCGTTTGCTCTGTGGAGTATTCTGCTGGGGAAAGTTAAGCTCTGTGGTTTGTTGCCACCAAGAGCCAAAGTCTCCAACCTTCCCGGGAGGAGGAGATGACCATTACTGGGCAGCTACGTGCCCTAGGCCGTTCTGTCCACGTGACTTCAGTCTTTGTCCCAGCTTGTTAGCACTGTTTGCTGAGCTGACCCCTCACGGATGCAGATGGCACAGCTCCGTGTCCACCTCGGTGCAAGGCTTCTCCCCACACTTTCCCTGCCACTTCTCAGACGGTTCCAGATTGTCATTGCTGTCCTCTAGCACCTACCACTGCCACCCACCTTAATAGCTGATGTCGCCTGCTTCAGCAGGAAGCCGTCCCATGAGACTTGCCTTACCTAGACCTGTGTGCATCCTTTTCCCTCTCTTTCCAACCTAACAGTGGTTAAGAGCAATATTCCTAGATGTAATCTTACCTGCTCACTAGGTTAGTGATCCTGCTTCTTACTGGAAACCTATTAATGTAGATTCTTTGACATTACCTGGCAATTGAAAGTTTCTACTGAAGTGTTGATTTTACTAAAGCGTTTTAATTACCATAAGTATATAAACTGAATTTAGTTTTGAGGTAGAATTTACAAAATTTTTATAGAGCACTTAGAAAGTCCAGGTATTTCTGTATGATGTACTGTAATGTAGTATGGTTAAGCGCTTGGGTTCTAGAATGTTAGTGTCTGGGGTCACATTGTGAACTCTGGCCGACTCAGTCGTCATGTGTGTAACTTCTCTGGCCTTTTCCTTGTCCCTGTGTGAGATGGTACTTGTCCTCTAGAATGAGGGGACCAAACAAGACAAGGCTCACGCGGCCTGCAGAGCTGCCGTGCTGTGGGTGCTCAGGAAACACTGGACACTGCCGATTTTCCACCAAGCGTACCCAACCTGATTCCACCTTTCCTTGATGCCTAAATGTCCTTCTGAGCTTGTATTACTCTACCCTCCTAAAGTGGAAGGAAGCCCTCAGAGTTATTTTAAATGTGCATGTAAACCCTAATGTCTAATGACAGAGGTTTATGGAATTTGTCTCTATCCTGGCTACCACTTTGACTTTGAACTCATCTAATGAGCTTTCCTCCTCTAGGAGGCAGGTGACTTTATATAGTCATGTACTGGAAAGAGGCTGTAATTGAGAGCTTTCCAGCAACTGCGTGGAGTTTTTAAAAAAATTTATTTTATTTGAAAGGTAGAGATAGGGAGAGAGCAGAGAGAGAGGAACGTCTTCCATCCACTGGTTCACTCCCCAAATAGCCTTTTGTGCTTCATCCGGGTCTCCCATTTGGGTACAGGGGCCCAAGCACTTGGGCTGCCTTCTGCTGCTTTCCCAGGCACGTGAGCAAGGAGCTGCATCAAACTGGAGCAGCCAGGACTCAAACCGGTGCCCATATGGGATGCCAGCACTGCAGGCAGCTGCTTTAACCTGCTATGCCACAGTGACAGACCCTGTGTGGACCTTTGATGGGAGGACAGGAAAGATACCAAAGCCATGGGGCTTTGAATATTTGAGCTAAAGGGCTGTTTTACAACCTCCATTCCTTTATTTCCAAAGAATAGATCCCGAGTAGAACATGATTATCTTACAGATGAGAAAGGGTAGCATGAATGACGGATGGACCTACATTGGCAGAGCTAATTAGCAACAGACTCTGGACTGCAACCAAAGGGTCCTTGCTACTGTTCTTTACCATAACCCCTGTGCTGGGGCTCAGCCTCAGCTACAGCTAGACTAGGTGACCGTGCCAGGTGGAGCAGATGGCATGGACCTTTGAAGTGCACTGTTAGCCCCATGTGTCTTGAGGGAACCTAAATGCTGCTGTCCTCTGTGACCAGTCTCAGCCTATAAACGTCCTGCTACCTGAAATAGCGTCTCTGTGTCCTCCTAGTGCGTGAGCAGAAACCCAGCCTGCTGTCCTATTAGCCCAGGACCCTGTGGCAGCATCCCTGGAGCATCTGCAAGAGAAGGCACTCTGCACGCACACGGGCTCTTCCTGCTGCTGGGAAAACAGCTGTTCTTTGGCCTTTGTCAGGCTCACTTCCATTCTTCTGAGTTAAATCTACTGGAATATAGTGTAATAAAATTAAGTGGTAAAAGAAACCTTCAAACTTGAGTGTATTACAGGAACTTGATAAATGTTAATTATTCCAGTGTTGCAGGACAATAAAGACCTAAAGTGAATTCATTGTTCCTACAGTCTGTATCTTTAGGCCCAGTGTTCCTAGTGTGTTGCTGACATTCCTCACATTTTTAAGTTTTATCTATTTATATGAAAGGCAGAGTTACAGAGAGGGGGGAGAGACAGTTCTTCCATCCACCAGTTTACATTTTAAACTTAAGCAGTTAGTACTTAGAGGAAGATCACAGCCCATCCTTGCACAAGTGATACAGAAGTAAAAATGTTTTCCGCTTCAGCTTTGAAACAAGCACTTGTCACGGAGAGAGGCAAGACTCACGGGAAGTCAGATCTCCTGTGTGCTTCCATGGAGACACAGTGGGTAAAGAAAGCAGCAGTCAGTCTTCGGTTAAGAAGAATGAACAATTGCAACTTTTAAATGACAGCCCTATTCCTGTATTCTCCTGCTGTGTTCTCTCCACAGTGCAGTGGGCTGACGTCCAGATGCCTCAGTGGGCTGCACTCAGGGTCCCAGGACAGCTGCAGGCACTGTCCCAGTGTCTGCCCTTGTCGCTGCCTGACAGAGACCTTCCCGTACTTGTCAACCCAGGTTATATGTCGTCTACGCCAGTCTTCCCCCAAGGTTGCCCTCTCCTCTGCTCCCAGAACATGTCGCTTACCTGCCTCTCCGATAGCAAGTGTCAACACATTACTCATGCACCATGCTTCTCTCCACCATAGTGAAAGGACAGGAGTTGAACCTTTCACCTCTGGGCTTCCCAGTGCTGCAGAGGCGGCCAGCTGAGCTTGCTAGCTGATTGAATTCTTGCCCAGTCCCTTAAACTACTCATCTCCTGTCCTGCTTCCTTAACCCCTTAACAAAAAAATCTGTTCCTGATTATTTCCATTTTACAAATGATTTGTTCCTTTTCTGTCCAGGCAGCATAATTCGTTGTATGAGGCGCCTGGAAGAACTGCTTCGACAGATGTGTCAGGCAGCAAAAGCCATTGGAAACACTGAGCTGGAAAATAAGTTTGCAGAAGGTTGGTATCCAAATCATGAGCTTTGTCTAATAATTTTGGCAAATCTTGTGAGAGCTGAGCCCTTGCCTGTAACCTAGAAGACATTTTCACTGGATTGCCAAGGAGCACCATCAGACAGTGTTTCTGTAAAATACCAGTGTTTGTGGGAGGGAATTTGGTGTTACGTGGAATGCTTCATAAAGCTGATAGAAATAAAATTTAAAATTTTGGTGCAAAAAAATTTGGAATCCATGCATATAAGACATCTCAATTTATGAAAAAAAAAACCATGGATTTCAAACTTTTTTGCTCCAAAATGAACTTATTTTTCAATTTCATTTTCCCCTTTTGAAGTGCTCCTCATGTCAGCTGGTGATGAGTCTGTGGGAAACAACGGTAGGGAACAAGAGGATGGACGAGATAGGTCTGTGGCCTCCAGACTGGCTACATTTATGGCCTCCGGATATGCTTTCGATAGACTGGAGTGAGTGACAGGAGGCCAGTGTGGCTGGAACGGAGTGAGCACAGAGCAGAGACCGGATTGGCAGGAGAAATGGACGCATTAGCCCAGCAGCACAGGAGTGAGTGCTCTAGCTTGCATTTTACAGGTTGCTCTTGCTACTGCATTGAGGGCGAGAGTAGAAGCAGGGAGATCAGATCAATAAAGGATGTCTGGACCAAGACGGTGGTAGTCATGGGCAGGGTGGGGATGCATGCTTCAAAATATTTTGCCATGAATGTTGGCCAAGGAAAAGAACTTAAAAATTAAAGCATCAAACAGGAGCAGCCACATTGTTGCTCTGAGCTGGCCAGTGCTGGGGATTTCTGACAACTTAGTGTTCCTAAGAAGAGATCAGCAGAAACTGGCTGCTGTTTCTACCTAGTTGATTGAGAGGCCCATTAATCACTCGGGGTTTAAGTTTTCCTCGATGTGAAAATTTAAAAATTTTTTATTTTCTAAGCCTTAGAGAATATATTATATCTTAGGAAATACAAAGTGACTGTCAGTAGTTCATGGAAAATTCACATTATCTTTTGGTTCCATTTACCATGCACTTTTTAAAAGGCTGAAAATCCATGCTACCATCTTTTGACAGATTGGTTCTACCCAGAGTAAGACTTCTTGAATAATTTTAAACACTCCATGCCCTCCCCATACCACACTGATTACTGCAGAGTCAGAAGAATACTGTCTGGTTTCTAAGTGCTCTGCCCCATAAGGTGTCTCTCCCGACAGGAGGGTTTCTGTTCTCCAGGCTGTTCTCACCGGTGGCCAGGAGTGCGTGTGCTCTTTAAAGCCCAGTCGTGAGAAGTTCTGTGCTTTGTGGTCTTGAAGGTTTAAACCTTCTTTTCTTTTCTTTTAGGAATCACCAAAATCAAGAGAGATATTGTGTTTGCTGCCAGCCTCTACTTATAAAAAGTCACCTAAAGGAATGTGGGCTTTTAAATTATTCACCACCTGTCTGATCACAGTCACCACCAATTTACAAGTATTGATTTGTTTTCCCATTTCAAGACAGTTGTCCTCAAACATTTTAATACATGTTATATTTAAATCAAGCGTCATTCCAAGAAAGCATATTACATACACATTTGTACATAAGCATTACATTTTTTTAATAAAAATGTACAGGTGGGGAATTGTTTTAGTGGAAGGCTTGAAATTTTTTAATGAACTTAGAGCTATTAGATAACCATTGTGTTAAATGTAACTATATACACACAGATAAAGTGGGCATCCAAGAGGTATAGCAGCAGCAGCAGCAGTCCCTTAAAGGCCTGGACACCGGGAAGAGAGAAGCATCCCCATGCCTTCTGGTTGCCATCCTTTTCCTTTAAGAAGCAGGCCAGCTTCCTCTGGGCCCCGCCGCTCTTCAAGGCTGGTGACTGTTCCGGTAATGATTCCCTGCCGTGGGTGTTTCGTGCAGAGTTGTATGCGAATCCTCCTCTTTTCTTTCTTTAAAAGGAGAATTTCTCTTCTTGAAGAAATCTGATACATATACAGCCTGTGTGGACAGGATATACTTAGAATAGGGTAAAATATTTAACAGTACAATTTGCATCAGTTTAAAAACCATATACAAAATTGCAGTAAGCAAATACAAATAAAAGGATACACACTGGAGGGTACAGGTTAGGCATACAAAAAACAGTAGCTAATAGGAATTTTTTAAAGGAGATTATTCCAAATAGAGATGCTTTGTTATGTCTTCAGCAAAAGCTCAACTCTTCAGTTTTTTTCAATTCAGACCCAAAAATATATTGCTTATAGACAAATTCTCTTAGGATAAAAATACAAAAAAGTAATCTAATTTTTATTTGCTATCTCTCCTAAAGTGACTTTATTAATATTGGATTCTTCTCCATGAGAAATTATTGAGCCATGTTTCCCAGGGTATTTTTTACTATTTACCATCCAGATGTTTCGCAATAATCAAGAAGGAGGCTGCTGCCCTTTATACTTACTACTAATATTGCAACCAGAGCTCCTTGAATGAGTCCAGTCAACACATCACTCCAGTGGTGTTTGTAGTCAGAAACTCGAGAAAGGCCCACATAAATGGACACAGCAACAAGACCAAATTGCAGTGTGGGGCGTAAGAGTCTTGCCCAGTCTCCCCTCATCCTGGCTTGGAGATAAAGCTAGTAGAAAAGATACAAATAAAGAAAACAACTTGCTTAATATAAAAGTTTCCAATTGGTATGTTAAGTATCACGATGACCTATAAAACATTGCTGTTTAAAATTATTATCGGGCAGGCATGATGGCACAGCAGGTTAAGCCACTACTTGGGATGCTCACATGTCACTTCTGAGTGCCTAGGATTGAGCTCCACCTCTGCTTCCCATCCACCTTCCTGCTAATGTCCCTGGGAGGCAGCATGTGATAGCCCAAATACTTAGGTTCCTGCCATGCACATGAGCGATCTGGGCACCTGGCTTAGCCCTAGCTGTTGTGAGCATTTGGGGAGTGAACCAATAGACAGATGGAAGAGCATTCTCTCTCTGCCTTTTAAAAGATAAATCTTTTTTTAAAAGATCAAAATATTATATTTGGTACAGGACTTTGGGCCTCTTTCCTGTATCAGCCTTTTGGTGCATCTGTATCTAAGTTTAAGTAGAAAGAACTTTTTAAAAAATGTTTACTTTTCATCTACTTGAAAGGTCAAAATACAGAAAGAAAAGTCTTCCATCCACTGGTTCACGCCCTCAGATGCCCATAACAACCAAGCCTGAACCAGGCCAAACCCAGCAGCTGGAACTCCATCCAGGTCTGTTTGGATGGCACTGGCCCAGGTATTAAACATATCATCTGCTGCATCCCAGGATGCGTCAGCCGGGGGCTGGGTCACAAGCAGACCAGCCGGGACTCCAGCTGGCACTGCAGTATGGGGTGTAGGCATCCCAAGTGTCAGTGCAACCCTCTGTGCCCCAGTGCCCACCCCAAAAACATTCTTTCCAGTGATCTTTTTTTAAAGCCCTAATTTCTATTTAGTAAGAATATAATTTACATCCATCAAAAAAGTCTGTTCACAAATCTGATTCATTTAAATGAACTCCTCGAAACAAGTTATGGCTTTGCCCACTGACATTACCTATTTCAAACAGACAAGCAAGTCCATTCCTGGTTCTTTGGGTACTGTTTTGGTTGTTCGGTTTTCAGCAGCTGGCAAAGACCCAGAGGTTGTCCAGTTTTATCAAGCACTTAGTGTACACATCTCCTTCTAAACCATACCACTCACGTTTAACTTAGTGACTCATTAGCTAGATTAAGTGATACTGGCTTTCTGCAGAGCCTCTCACCCCCTTATCTTCGTTGGTGTTCAAGTCATGAAAAAAAGGTAATAGGAGCTTTGTCTCGGATTCACATTTCTGCCTTAATTGGAAACTATGTATCTTAAAACATTTCATTGACTGAAGCTCAGCTGTCCCTTTTCAGTTATTTAGCTGCCCTTTTTTTGACAGGCAGAGTGGACAGTGAGAGAGAGAGACAGAGAGAAAGGTCTTCCTTTGCCGTTGGTTCACCCTCCAATGGCCGCCACGGCCGGCGCACTGCGGCCGGCGCACCGTGCTGATCCAAAGGCAGGAGCCATGTGCTTCTCCTGGTCTCCCATGGGGTGCAGGGCCCAAGGACTTGGGCCATCCTCCACTGCACTTGCTGGCCACAGCAGAGAGCTGGCCTGGAAGAGGAGCAACTGGGACAGAATCTGGCGCCCCGACCGGGACTAGAACCCGGTGTGCCGGCGCTGCTAGGTGGAGGATTAGCCTAGTGAGCCGCGGCACCGGCCTTAGCTGCCTTTTTGAAAGTTAAAGGATGGGGCTGGTGCTGTGGTGTAGCAGGTAAAGCCGTTGCCTGCAGAGCCAGTATCCCATATGGGCACCGGTTCGAGTCTCAGTTGCTCTTCTTCCTATCCAGCTCTCTGCTATGGCCTGGGAAAGCAGAAGATGGCCCAAGTCCTTGGGCCCCTACACCCACGTGGTGACCTGGAAGAAACTCCAGTTGAACGGCCATTTGGAGAGTAAACCAGTGGATGGAAGATCTCTCCCTCCCTCCCTCTGTGTAACACTGCCTTCCAAATAAATACATATTTTTTTAAAAAGTTAAGGGTTAGTCAGGCCTATGAACATGGATACTTAGAGGCAGGCACTTGGCACAGGAATTAAAGACACTGGGAACACCCACATCCCCTTATCAGAGTGCTGGAATTGAAGCCTTGACTCCTTTCCCAATTCCAGCTTCCTGCTAAAATGCACGCTCTGGGAGGCAACAGGTGATGCTTCAAGATCCCTGCCACCCACGTCTTTTTGGATCCTGTCTTTGGCCTGGGCCAGCCCTGGCAGTTGTGGCCATTTGGGAGGTTTTCAAATAAAATATGCACACATACACACACACACAAACTTAGGAACTGCAAATACCAGGGAGCTTCAGAAAGTTGGTAGAACACGGAATTAAAAGATAAGGATGCAAAAGATTTTAAATCCATGCACAATTTTTTCCTAAATACGGACATCTTGAGGAGACCTGTACCTGTCTCTGCTAAGGAGAAAGGGGGGAAAAAAAAGGCAGTAACTCGACAGCGGATTCAAGCTCATCCTACTTTGTACTTCCCACCCAAAACTCAGGACGTGGCTGGCTTTCTCACACCTCTTCCCGAGTCAGAGTGCTGCACTACTGTCACTCTGGGCTCACGAGTCTACACTGGGGGGCTCTAGGGTGTTCCAAACGGGGTGCTGCACTCGTCTCTGCGCTACACCCTGGCTCTTCTGTTGACCACCACTGTGACGCGAGTGTAGTCTGCTTACACCACAAGACTCAGCTCTGGGGGAGCGTGGCTAATGTGCTTCCTGTTGATCTGCACGGGTTCCCACGGGTCAGGTACCACGTACAGCCCCTCTTCTTCCCATTAAAGAGGAGCTCAAGGCAAAAAAACACCAGAATTCTCGCATGATGGGTCACCTGCGTTCCCCCGCTGGTAACGCCCAGACCTCTGGACTTGGACTTCTCCCCTTCCTTCCGGGCCTCTGGCCACCCACCAGTCTCCTGCTGAGCGCGGTGACCTCGAGGCTCCACTTGCAGAGCCTGTTTCAGGTTCTGCAGAGCAACCCTCCCCACACTCACGTAATCCTTCTAAAATCATGACCTCTCGCCTGTCAGCCTCCTCTCCCCTCCTTTCGTTTGGGGATTTAAACTTTTTTAAATCTATTCTTGCCCTTGGAGGGGTTCTTGAGAGAGGAAATGAAAGTCTATGTTTATCCTGAGGTGCCCACGCTCCCTCCCCCGAGGGCGTCATCAAGGAAAATGACTGCTGACAAGTGTCCAGACGTGCTGTGCTCGGCAAGGCCGGCAAGGCTGGGGGTCTGCGGAAAGTGACGGAAGATGCATGCTCTGAAAAAACGATGTGGATTCCCAGTATCCTACATCAAAATAAGCTCCAAAGCCATTTTCCCATGACACTTTGGAAGTATACCGCTCGGGTTCCTGCTGTATCACTACACACTCCCCGTGGCTGGACAAAGCCAGCATGACTTGAAATCGGGATAGGCATCTGGGGTGGCAGTAAAAACATCGCTTGGGCCTGTGTTGTGGCACGGTGAGTTAAGCCACCTCCTACAAGCCCATTTTTTTATGAGGGCTGGTTCAAGTCCTGGCTGTTCCACTTCCAATTCAGATTCTTGGTAGTGTACCTGGGAAAGCCGTGAAGATGACTCAAGTGGGGGGCCTCAGTGTAGTCCTATGCCCAAATGCTGACATTCCTTTAAAAAAAAAGTCTATCCTCAGCCTTTCCCTTGGCTGAGGGAACACAGCAGTGACTGAAGCATCCAGCAGTGTTCTAGTAGAACTAGAAGCAGGGACAGAGCCAGCATAAAGGCTCTCGAGGTCCCTGCCTTTGCAAACTCCACTCTTGCCCTCTCCACAAGTGCGATTCGTGCTAAACCGTTATCTTTGAAGAATCAGAATTTCCCCAGCTCCATGTCTAATTCTGGACCTGTGCACCCAGCAGGCTCAGGGTCTGGCACTTTCACATCCCCTGCTGGGAGGAACTGCCTGCCCACAGACACAACTGCAGGGGCAGCCCTATTTGGACGAGCTAACCTGCCTATTCTGCGAGGGCACTAACCATTTGGCTTCCACTAGCCATCTGCTGGGCTGTGTGCTTGCTCAGGAACGTGTACTAAAATGAGGCATTCTCTATAGAAAGGGCATCGGATGGGTACCTGGTAGGTTATTTGCCAACTAAAGTTATAAGAATGCAAAAGCCACAGCTAAGTGAGCAAGGAAGATGGAGCAGGGTGGCCACTGCGCTGAAAACCCAAGTGGCCATGAGACAAGCAGGGAGAGCAGCTGCAGGTCTCGGGGTGCAGCTGGTTGTAAGCCACGGGTGTCCTCATAGTGTACTACGTTGGCTTTTAATGTGTAAGGGAGTCTGATGCTTACACCCAAAAAATAAGCCAGTTAATCAGCCCACCCTGTGTTTAACCAAAATCCTGGCTTTTAAATTTGGAGTTAGGTGACTTAAATGGTAAAGACTGACTTTTTCAGAAAGCTGGGTTTGCATGAAGAAGAAAAATGGTCTGTTTATATGGCTTCTACATCTGTGCAGGTGCCCAAGGACTTGGGCCGTCTTCTACTGCTTTCCCAGGCCATAGCAGAGAGCTAGATTAGAAGTGGAGCAGCTGAGGTTTGAACCAGCGCCCATTTGGGATACTGGCACTGCAGATGGTGGCTTTACCTGCTACACCAATGCACCAGCCCCCTACTATCTCTTACATTTTACTAAATCTGATGGAGAAAATGGGAGATGGTTGATTGTTGTGCTGAATTCCTAATAATATCTCAGAGCAAACCTGCTTTCTCTTTCCAATTATGGAAAACATAGATTTTATATTTTTTTTATTTGACAGAGTTATAGAGAGAGAAAGACAGACAGAAAGGTCTTCTTTCTGTTGGTTCATTCCCCAAATGGCCGCTATGGCTGGCACTGCGCCGATCTGAAGCCAGGAGCCAGGTGCTTCCTCCTGGTCTCCCATGCGGGTGCAGGGCCCAAGCACTTGGGCCATCCTCCACTGCCTTCCCGGGCCACAGCAGAGAGCTGGACTGGAAGAGGAGCAACTGGGACTAGAACCCGGCACCCATATGGGAT